CTTCTTTTTGAAGGCACCACAGCAGTGTAAAATATTTCAGAGTTTGAAATAGTGGCCATGGAGGGGCTCCTGATGAGTTTCCTACTCAAAGCCCTATTACATGGGCTATTGCATAAGAGTCGTGAATTTCATCCTTGTGTTTTTAAACACCCCAGGGCAGGAACTTTGCCTTCCTACATATTTATTGGGCACAACACACATCTACAGTAATATATAAATAATAAAACATCTTTTCAGTTTTCAATTTGTTTTTATAATTTCTGTGGTGTCTTGAGATTTGTTTTCAGGTACTAAAATCAGTTAAGCCTGATACATTTTACTACAAAATCATAGAATCATAGAATAAATGAAACAAGTTGTTAAATGGAAACAGTCTGTTACTAGAAAAATAATGCAAAGTATTACATAATTAAATAAGGTGCTTCTAGGATAGTCTGTTGCAAAATGTTATAAAAAGCTGGTAGTTTTCTGTATTATAATAGTAATAAGTAATGTTTATTGCTTCTCCTTCGTAGATTCTTTATTTACCTACCAGACATGAAAAAGTCTTCAAAACTGTCATTGTCTTAATACTTTTATTAATAAAAATTTTTCATCTGTAATTTGTCTACAGTATTCAGAGGAACAGCCGTGTTAGTCTGTATTCGCAAAAAGAAAAGGAGTACTTGTGGCACCTTAGAGACTAACCAATTTATTTGAGCATGAGCTTTCGTGAGCTACAGCTCACTTCATCAGATGCATATGCATATGCATCTGATGAAGTGAGCTGTAGCTCACGAAAGCTCATGCTCAAATAAATTGGTTAGTCTCTAAGGTGCCACAAGTACTCCTTTTCTTTTTGTCTACAGTAGATATTCTTTACATTTTCTACCATTGCACTACAATTCGTGCAGCACAGCTAATGGTAGCAACGATGCTGATGTAGACAGGCTGCTGCTGATTGCCAGTGCTTTAACCATCATGTGATTTAGACCTGCTGTGAGTAAAGTTAGGAAACATAGTGGTTAAAATGCCAGCTGATCTATGCTAGCATTTCCAATGGTGCAGAGGCAACACTGGAATCTAATGCAAAATGATTATGTAGAAAGAGCCCAAGTGTGAGACAATAGTGACCTCTACTGGCCACTTCCTTCACTCAAAAGCCATCATTATGTACCTGCACGCACTTCCAAAAGAAACTGTGTAACCTATTGCATCCAAATCTGAAACATTTTTTTAGACCTATAAAAGCTACCATTAAAGTACAGAAACAAAACATATACATCAAATTTTCTATAAAATTAAATTACTTCCTATAGCTCTCTGGATCTCTCTCCCAGTTTCTTTCTCAATTCTCCACTTTTCATTCTGTAGCCAAGTTTCTTCAGTGTCCATATTTTCCCCCGACTAGCTCCTCGGTATTATTTTCTTTCCATATTTTTTCTCCATCCTCCTCCTTCTTGAAGGTGTTTTTCTAATCTGATTTGGCTTTTGTTCCCTTATCTAACTTTACTTTCAGTGTTTTCTCTCTCCCTCTCTGTCATGCTTGTTACCCATCATTATGATCTCCAATTCATTTCTATACCTCTACTGTAATGGTGTGTGATGATTTGGGGAACCTATGCACATATTATGAATTCTGATACTGATATAATGTTATTAACCTGTTGCTATTAAAACTGCTGTATCATGAATGTCCCTCTATGTGTATCCACCATTGATGAAAAGCCTTTCAGTATGTCCCTCCCAGACCAGGTACAATGGTGGATCATGAGAACTCTTCAACCACTTATTCAGAGTGAAGCACATTTGGACAATGGGACGAGAAGAAGATGCTGCATGCTCTTGTCTGAAGGCAGGGGGAAAGTGCAGAGATTGAAAATTCCCCAAGCAGGATAAAGAGAGAGAGGTAACAAAGCAGGAGGTAATGAAAGGACTGTGGGGGAAGACTCGAACAGTGGAAATTTTGGGTAGGACAGAGGAAGGAAAGGGACAAACTGGCCAAGGGCACAGAAGAGAGACATGGGTGAGGTAGTATCTTTCACTGGACCAACTTCTGTTGGTGAGCGAGACAAGCTTTTGCACTTATACAAAGCTCTTCTTCAGATTCAGGCAGAGTATTCTGGAAGATTGGCATGTAACAGGGAATGTAGAAGCATCTCCTTTTAAGTGTAAGAATGAGAACTGAGCTTATCAAGCCATTAAAGGAGTGGAGTTTGGAACCAGGAATCCATTTTCCCGACAAAAGATGTGTGCTTCTTAGATTCATTACAATATCTGACTCTCCCAACCACACCTTGAGGCACGTCTACACGTGCAAAGTTAGAACCCCGGCAGTTAGTGCCGCTCAGAGAGTGCTGAAGGAAAACCGCTGTTGTGTGTTCACACTGACAGCTGCCTGCACAATAGCATGTTCACACTTGTAGCACTATTCGAAGCGGTGCACTCTGGGCAGCTATCCCACAGAGCACCTCTTTCTCTTTTGTTGCTAAGACTTGTGGGAAGGTGGAAGGGGACGCGGGGCATCCTGGGTCCTGTCTCAATGCCCTGTGATGCATTGCTTTGCATCCCAGCAATCCCTGTGCTTCCATCCGCATTTGGCACCATCTTTCAATGATTTGTGTACTGTGCGCCCTGTCCTGCCTATTTTGGGCTGCAGGAACGGATCCCGAGCTGTTGACCAGTATGCTGCTCACACTGACCAACATGTCACAAGTGACAGTGGAGTTATTCCTTAAACTAGAAGGTCAACAGGAGTGCGACGTTGGGGTAGCTATGACATGAGATTGCCTGTGGCATTCACAGAGGTGCTGACCACAGTGGAATGCCACTTTTGGGCTCAGGAAACAAGCACTGAGTGGTGGGATCACGTCGTGATGCATGTCTGGGATGATGAGCAGCGGCTGCAGAACTTTGGCATGAGGAAAGCCACATTCATGGGACTGTGTGATGAGCTCACTCCAGCCCTGCAGCGCAAGGACACGAGAATGAGAGCTGCCCTGCCGTTGGAGAAATGCGTGGCAATTGCACTGTGGAAGCTGGCTACTCCAGACTGGTACTGATCGGTTGCTAACCAGTTCAAAGTGGGAAAGTTGACCGTTGGAGTCATGTTGAAGAAGCGTGCAGGGCCATTAATCACACCCAAAAGACAGTGACATTGTGGATGGCTTTGCACAAATGAGCTTCCCTAACTGTGGAGGAGTGATCGATGGCACACACATTCCAATTCTGGCACCAGACCACATAGCCACCGAGTACATTAATCGCAAGGGGTATTTCTCAATGGTTCTCCAGGTGCTTGTGGATCACCATGGGCTTTTCACAAACATGAACGCAGGCTGGTCCGGAAAGGTGCATGACACATGCATCTTTCGGAACACTGGCCTGTTCAGGAAGCTGCAAGCAGGGACTTTCTTCCCAGACCAGATCACTGTAGGGGAAGTCGAAATGCCCCTTGTGATCCTGGGGGACCCCACCTACCCCTTAATGCCATGGCTCATGAAGCCATACACAGGGCAACTTGACAGCAGCAAGGAGCGGTTCAACAACAGGCTGAGCAAGTGCAGAATGATTGTAGAGTGTGCATTTGGCCGTTTAAAAGCCCGCTGGCGATGCCTATATGGGAAGCTGGACATGGCAGATGACAATATTCCTATGCTTATAGCCACGTGCTGTATGCACCATAATATTTGTGAAGGGAAGGGTGAAAGCTTCACTCAGGGCTGGACTGCAGAGGCTCAGTGCCTGGAAGCTGAGTTTGAACAGCCAGAGACCAGGGCTATTAGAGGGGCGCAGCATGGGCCCACAAGGATCAGGGATGCTTTGAGGCAGCAATTTGAAGCTGAAAGACACTAATATTCGTTGCTATGCACAGGAGTGCAGTGCTTGTAATGCTAAGAGGTGATTAGTGCACATGATGCAAAAAGGGACCTTAACATAGTTGTATGTTGCTTTGCGGTGCTCTTTTTGCTTTCACTTAATAGAATAAAGATTGCTTTCAAACAAACTAACCTGCCAGAGTCCTGAACAAATTAAGATGGTTGCTGTCTCAGAATGTCTGCATCAGTGCACAAGAGATCTCACGGGGTTCTTCTTTTTCCCCTAATGTAGCACAGCCTGTTTCGCTGGCTCTGCTAAAAGGAATATGAATCAAGTTTAACAGTTCTTGTACCACAAAGCAGGGAGCTACTTTTCAAAACTATTCTGGGCTGCAGCCAAATTCCCCTCCCCCCCTTTCATTTGCACACGAGGAAATGCTACACCCCCCATCAGCGGCCAGAGACACTAAAGGTGAAACTTGGAAGCCAGCATCTCACGTTCGGCCCGCAGCTTCCCACCGCGCCGTAGCACCGGGACCTTGCAGGGCGGAGCTGCGGCGGGGGGGCATGAAGATGTAAACAGCCGCTGGAGTTGCCAGGCCACGGGCCAGGAAGGGGCCTCGTCCGCCTGAGCCCGCAATGGACGGATCGGAGCAGGGCCCCCCTCGCGGCGTTACTTCCCCTCTCCCAGGCCCGGGCGCCGCCCAGGCACGGCGGGCGAGAAGGGGAAATGGAGACCGCAGAAGGAAACTCTCACCGAGCCAGGCGTCGCCGCGAAACGCCTCGCGGCCCAGCCGCGCCGTGCAGCTCCCCGGCCCCGCAAGGGCCCCGCGGCAGGGACTCGCGGTGCACGGCGCGGGATGAAGAAGCGCGGCAAGCCGGGGGCTGCTGGGGGAGGGGGATGCGGGCGGGGCGGGGGAGTGAAAGGCGGGGGGGAGGGGCAGAGGCGCCGATGAGGGGCGGTTCTAGAGCGAGGCCACGCAGGGCTGTCTGAACGCCAGGCTCGGGGAGAGGAAGCAGAGGGCCGGGCTCGGGGGCGGGGCGAAAGGCTGCTGACAAGGTCTCCCCGGGCTGCGGGCGCCCTGAGGCGTACGTTGGATCGCAGGCAGTGCGCGTCACCGGTGGGCGGGGCTGTTCTGCGAGTAGGCGGGGCTTCCCACGGCGCGCGCGCTGTGGCGGCGGTGGGCGGGGTCTTGCGGAGCCGGAAGCGCTGTCGTTACTCTTGCGCTGGGAGCCGCGGCGCGGAGCTTCCGCCATGGAGGGGCCCGGGCCTGGGCTCGCCGCGCGGCCGCTCACCGAGGATGAGATGGCGGAGGTGAAGAAGGAAGTAAGTGAGGCTGAGCTGGGGTCACGCGGGGCGGGGAGGAGGATGCTGGTAGACCGGGGCTGGGGCGGTCCTCGTCCCCTGCCGCCGGCCGGCTGGAGAGGCACGCACAGCCCGTGCAGCCGCCCTTCCCGTTTCGCTGGGGGGCCGGGACACGCGCCGGGAAATCCCCCCCTCCGGCCCCCGCCGTAGCCGCTGGGGCGGGGTTAGGCGCGCGCTGTCACTGACTGAGGGGGAGGCCTGGGGGCCGTTGGCTCGGTTGGCCGGTGTCTAGCGGAGACCCCCTGGAAGTGCCGCCCCCTCCTCGCGGGGCCCACGGAGCCCCCCGGTAAACGACACGCCCCCTGCGTTCCCCTTCGGTCTGTATCCGGGCGGAGGGCGCGCCGCTGACCGCGAGCTGGGTTCTCCCCTCCCTTGTCCTGGCCACGGGACACACGTAGGGGCCCTGAAAGAAATAGTGTTCCTTCGGGCAGGATGTAGCGTGCAGCTCTGTTCTTGTTTAACATTTACACTGTAGAAAGGATGAAAGGCCAACCAGGTTGGGGCTGTTTGTGGTGGAAAGCTTAACAAAACTCCATGGCTTCATTTTGAAGGATCCAAAAGGCTTTAAGCAATAAGGCTGAAATTATTTTTAAATTGTATAGTTTGGAGCCAAATGCATGCCTGTTTGTGTTTTGTTTGTTAACTGTTTTAACGTCTCAACTTGATGTTTGTGGGGTCAAAATAACATGAGGTGTGGTGGTCTCCTGATCATCCAATATCTGGAAAATGGAATTGACTTCAGAAACCCAGATCTTACATTATTTTGACCCAGGGCCTTAACCAGGGTGAGTGGGGCAGCCCTCCAGGGCGCAGAGTTGAAGGGGTAGAAAAATGGGGCCACAGGTGGTGCATGGGGTGGGCGTACACAGGGTTATGTTCCCCCTCCCCTTATTTTTTTGTTGTTGTGTGTCCCCCAAACCCCAGACAGGCTGGGTGGCCCACTGAGGTGAGTTGGGGGTGGAGGTGGTGCACCCTCCCTGAGCCCTGCCATGCATGGCTGGCCGAAACCACCTGGTGTCACCACTCATTCCCCCCAGTGTTCCTCCCTGGGGGGTGTGGGGCACACTCCACAGTTTGAAAACCTCTGTGGGGTGGTCACATGCCCTCCTCCCTCCCTGAACCTTTAAACTGGGTCCCCCACACACTATCAATGAACAGTTAAGTGCTACCCCTGAATGGGGAGGGAGAAGTATGGTAAGAGGTGCAAATATGCTTGCTTGTCCCGAGTGCTAAAATGCATATTTATGAGGTCAAAGCAGAGCCATAAGTGACTCCAAGGCATAAAAAAGTTAGTGGAAAAGACACACAAGGTATTAACAAAATATTGATATTCTAAGCTTTATTTTTGGTTCCTGTGGTATCTACGTACATTGGCTGAACAAAAACTATCAGCTTCCAGCAGGCAATATTATTTATTTACTGCTTATTCTCCAACACTATGGATGTTTCATTAATATACTTATAGATGGTTGGTGTCTCCATTCCAGCAGCATGGGGAAAGTCAAAGGCGGTGGTGGAAACCACTGCTTAATCTCTTTCAGGGTTCAGGTCACTTCACAGCTGCCATCTCTAAAACAGGAAGAAAAAAGCAGTCTCTAAAATGAATGAAGAGAAATAAATGTTACAGGAGTCACAGTTAAGAGCTCTGTTACATTAGTGCGGGAGGGAGAAAATAACTTGTGTGCCAATCCTGCAAACACATACGCACATGCATAAAGTTAAGCATGTGAGTGTGTCCGCAGCATCAGAGCCCTAGACGATGGAAGATATGCTAGTGTATAATAGATGTGAGGACCCAGACCATTTATTTTGTTGTAATATTTGAATCATATGAGGTGTACAACATAGCATTGTACGTCAAACAATGTTACAGGTTACAGAGATGTTGAGAAAAGTAGGCTGGATATCTCCATTCCATCAAGATTAAGACAATTTGGCCATAAACTTTAAAAGCAAGAGGAGAAATTTTGTGTGAGACTCAGAAAATTAGGCCCAAGCAAAGATAAGATTTGATAGTTTTTCAGGATTAAAAATACATTTCTGTACTATGTAATCTAATTCTAGGCTAGACTGCAAAAACAGCCACTAGACTGGGTTGCTTCATGAAGCACAGAAGTAAGTTTGGACAGTGAAGTTACTGGTTCATTAATGATTTTTGGCAAAACCTGATGTAACTTGTGATTGGGGTCTTGCCCATTAATTTATTTCCGTTTTCATACACAGTGATTTCTAACATCTGTTCTGCATGTTGGTGTTACTGCTCCTTGTTGAAATTTGTTTTACTGAATCTCTGAGACTTACTGGATTGATTTTTCTTTGGTAGTTGTTTGTTATCCCACTTTCATCATTAGATGCTTTTTGTTAATTTCAGTGGAGCATGTCTGTTTGACTTTGGTTTTGGTTTCTTAATAGTTGTTTTCACTGCTTATGTCATTTACCTGAAGTGCTTTGTCAGAATTTGTGGCACATGGTTTTTCATGTTCTTGCTTGCTGTTAAAGAACCACAAGAGTGAATAATAAATTTGATAGTTAACATCTGGTTATTTAAAATTCTAAAACCTCCTTCATCTTCAATAAATATATTCTGATTTGAATGTAATACTTAATCTTTCAAATTTGTTATTGTGACAGCTATGCTTATTTAATAACATTGTTTTTGCAAAAAGGAAAACTGCACGTATGCCACTTCAGAAACTAAGCAGAGTTGGGCCAGGTAGGTGCTTGGATCAGAGACTTGTAGAGAAACATAGGCTGCAGGGAGTAATGTGAGTCAGTAAAATACATTATTCTGAGTCGGTAGTGAACCAGCGTCCCAGTTTGATGATGGGCCCGGGGAGGTGCTCTTGTAGATGAGTTGTAAAATGGAGGTGTAGACTGCTTGTGATCACTAGACTTGCCTAGAAGCAAGAATGTTAATTTTGGTGCCAGTTTGGTGCCAAATGCCAGTTTACCTACATTTTTCCCTGTGGTTTTTGTTATGTTTTTCTTATGTTCTTAACAGTTCAACATTTGCTGCATGTCACACTGGTGATAGCTGCATTTGAATGTGAAAATTGAATTAGTATAATTAGTTATTAAAGTTTGTTTTTTTTAAAATCCATCTGGATGAATCAGTATAACAAATCTGTTTAACAAATAAGAAGCATCTGGCACTGACCACTGTTGGAAGACAGGATGCTGGGCTAGATGGACCACTGGTCTCAGACACTGTGGCCATTCTTATGTTATGTTCTCATATAAGATCATTATTTATTGATATTCTCTCATGCATTTGTTTTAATACTATAGAAAACAGACTGTCTCAAATATTAACTTCTTCCCAAACACACACTGTTAAAATGAAGTTAAGGTTGAGATTACTTAATAATTTGGGGTAAAATACATTGCAGGGATATTGAAATTATCCTAAAAACATGTTAAACCAGGAAATTCAGAGTTAAAATTAAACTGAAAAGAAATCTAAATGTTAAGGTATGAAAATGTATAGTTGGGGCACCCAAACAACTTTAACTCTGTCCTTTAGAGAAACCATCCAAAAAACGTGTTTATGGTCTCGGTATTTGATGTCTCAAATTACACTGATTTTTTTTTTTAAAGACTCACTCATTAGATTCTTTCTTTCCCTCTCATTCAAAATGGCCATTGCCTCTCACTGTCCTTTAGACAGCTCCATTCAAATTTTCACTTTTTTTACTGCAGCTACACATTGAGCAAACAAGATGTTAGGATACATAAGGAAAGGGATGGACAATAATACTGAAAACATAACGCTTTTATATAAATCGGTGGTGCAGCCTCACCTGGAATAGCGTGTGCAGTGCTGGTTACCCAACCTCAAAAAGGATATTACAAAACAGGATGGGGTTTAGAGAAGAGCATTGAGACTGATCAAAGGCCTGGAAAAACTTATTAGAAGAGAAATTGAAAAGATTGGAATGGTTTATTTTTAGAAGAGAGATTAATAAGAGGAGACATGATAAAAGTACATAAAATAATTTTTGGTAAATCGGGAGCTTCCATTCTCCTTGTCTCAAAACCCAAGAACAAGGAAACATTCAATTAAATTAAAAGGTGGGGAATTCCAAATCAATAAGAGGAAACAGCATGGAAAAAGTATGTGTGATTAAGCTGTGGAAAGCGTTGCCACAGGAAGTCATGGAGGCCAGGAACTTTTCAAGACTGAAAAAGAACAGCAATGAACCACTCTGTGGAAGACATTTTTCTCAGTCCCAAAGTTTCCTCTTATTCTAAACTCTCAGTATGGCCAGCATACCTCTTAAGGCACAATTAATTTTACCTCAAAAGAGAAATTTTAGTGTGACAGATATAGCAGTTTCCTGCAGTATCCTTGGATGACTTTATTGTATTAAATTTAGCATTATTGTGGGCTTGGAAACTCCCAAGTCTCTCATCTCAGGAGAGATGTGACAGATGTGAGACTTGGGAGTTCAAAAGACTGTATTCAAAGTGTGCCAGACACTTTGGACTTTTGGATCAATAAGTGTTAAGTGGTTTTCCTGGAGCATCTCTAGGGAGAGGTTAATGCAGATTACCCAACGCTGGTTATGGTGTGCCCTGAGAAGAGTGTTGTCTGCTGATTACTTGTTACAGAAGGCCAAGATCAAAGGCCTATATAAAGCAACAGCTGACCTGCCCAGTTTGGGTTCAAGTTCTGGGTCTAAGAGGGATGAATTTGTAACCACAGGGAAAACCCAGTTGTGGGTTTTGAAAGACTAAAACCTACTGGAGCCCTACATTGCAGTTGGGGGGGGAAGGGAGAAGATGGTGGGAAACAGGGTGACTGATGGCAAGCTTTTTAGCAGGTGTGTAGGTTCTTTTATTGTTTTTATCTCTGTCCTGCTTTTACCTTAAAAATAAATGTTTGCTTGGAAGGACTGTGTGGTAACTTATCATGGGCAATACACAGGACATAGCCCACAGAGAGAAAGCAAAGTGCTGGCAATGATCTTTGTAGGCGGTCTGGCTTGCGGGAGTATCACATTGTAAGGCAGGGAGTTGTGCAGCCTTAGGAGCTCCAGTCAGGAAAGAGTGAGACACAGGATTCCACCCAAGAGAAGTGACATCTGGGAAATGTCTAAAGTGGGTGCCCTTGGTGGACTATGAAGGGGGAATACAGATGCAGTTGCCCTGAAACTGTGACACCTAGCATTTCCCTTCCACCCCCAAACCTTAGAATTATCTAGAACAATTATAAGTAAATTTTCCAGCATACACATTCAACATTACTATAAAAGTTTACATGATATCGTTCCTTGCCATTGTATACAAATCTCATGGGATATATGTTGCCAAAATAAAAACATTTTTAGTAGCATTGGTGTTCCTTGTGTTGTTGTTGTGCTGTCCCTGGCTGCGGGCATCTGCCAATAAGTTGAAAGCAAATGATGTAAGATACTTTTCTGAATATTTATTAAAAAATTATGATTTTCCTGTGGTCTCTTGTGCGGTGCTATTCTTAGTTGCTCTATTTCCTGTACTTTCTTCCCTTTCAGGTACTACATTGATGGGGGCCATATAAGCACCTAGATGAAGGTAGATAATATCTTGGCGTACTTGTATACTTATTTTAATTAAACACACTCCTTCCTTCTGATCTAGTACTGAATTATTATGCACCTGTCAATGAATTCTTTCAGGTGCATAGTTCCTTTTCTTACCTAGTTAACATGAGAACAACTTTGTAACACCTGATTCTTCCTGATTCCTTTATTACACCTCAGGGAAGCTGATGAGAGGGGCTAATACTTTGCTACCAGCAAGGCTACAAGTTTTTTGTTTTTTTGAAGAAGGTCCTCCCCCAATGCCTGTTAATCAAGAGTTCTCTTAGTGTTTTTAGCATCATCAAAAAATGTTGGCTGCCTTCTTTTCAGCAGGCTGTCCTAAACTAGGCCATTCACTTGTCTAGCCTGTCTCACTTGTGAGAGCCTGAGGCTCAATTTTTTTTAAAGTCCTTCAAACAGGACCCAGTTCATGTGCTGTTAACCAGAATATTGCTGCCAGCACCACTACTATCAATGGAAACTGAATTCCTTTTGTAAGAAAGTCTCTAACTTTTAGCAAATATCTTTTGTTCCCTTCTGTCTCTTCAAATCCCTGTTCTACTCCAAATTCCCCTCATGGTCTAGTGCAGTGGTTCTCAAACTTTTTTTTCCACGGACCACTTGAAAATTGCTGAGGGTCTCCGTGGACCACTTAATGATTTTTCCAAATGTTGTTTGTACTGTTAGCTAACTATTGTAAAGTGCTTTAGATAAAAGCGCTATATAAAAAAACTTAATAATTAACATATTTTTGTTCTACAGATAAAAGCACACAACTCATTAAAATATCAGGAGTCTTATCTTTCTAATGCGATGGATGTGCCCTCTCTCTCCCGGCAATGCAGCCCCTGAGCTGGGGCTGGGAAGAAGTGGGGTCTCTCCCCTGCCACAGAGCTGAGGCTGGGAAGGAGGGCTGTCTCTCTCCAGCAGCCACAGTCTTAGAGCTGGGGAAAGTCACCTCTTTGCCTGCCTGCCTCAGCCCTGCATGTCCCAAAGTGTCGTTCCCCCGACCCCCCCCTTTCTCACCCAACTCTGCCATCCCACCTACCCCTTACTCCCTCCCCTGGCCACCACCTCACCTTACATATGCATTTTCTCCAGGGTCCAGACACGTAATTAGTGGAGCCATGCCTGCATGACTCCACTAATTAAGTGGGTGGCCTTCAGTCTGTTGTGTGCGGCCACCCAGGCACGCATCTTAGAAGAAAATATCCACGGACCACCTGAACGGAGCTCGTGGACCACAGTTTGAGAACCTCTGGTCTAGTGTGCCTTAGTTTCTCCCTAACTCTTTCCCAGGGCATTTTCACTCTACTTCTGAAAGTACAGCTGAGAAGGTGTTCTGAGGAGGAGTAAAAGCACAGTACAGCTTAGTGAATTTGTCCTTGCTTTTGAAGGACGAATGGTGGTTGGTTTAAAAACCAGTGGTGAAATGAGAGACTGAGACACGTGTCAGAAATGGGACTGGTACTTGAGGGAATGGAGGATTAGAAAATTCTCCAAATTAGAATGTTTTCATTTTTAGTTTCCCCAAAACAATATATTTTAAAATACATTCCATGAACTTTCTATGAAAGAGGGCTTATATCACATACACAATGGATATATACAAATAATTATATGTAAGAAATGTGGGGTTCTTTTGGTTCAGAACGATTCATTTTTTAAAAAAGCACATTATATATCAGGCATGGTTTTATACCTATAGAGAAATAAGCAGTATCTAAAGTGAGATAATAAATGTAAAATCTTCTATGAAAATATTGTCTGCCAATCTGCTCAACATCTGACAGCAATGCAGTTTATCTGTACAGTAAGAAGGGTTATAGTCTAAAAAGTGGCTTTGTAAAATGGCCTTGTGGAGGTTTCATACTTCCTCCCTAACCTCTGTGTTAAACTTTTGCAGGTAAAGTTTGCAGGTAAAAATTTCTTTTTTGTAACTGCCACATCCACAAACTCACTAGACAAACAGTCAAACTGGGTTATTTCCATCTCATGTATCATAGTGCTAGGTTCTGCGAGCCATTCTGTGCAAATTGCATTGTCTTATTATATTGTGTCCCCATATAATACCATTAGCTATAGGTGGCTTTGAATGGGTGTTGCTGATGACAGAGTTCCACAGGTGTCACAGTAGATGTAAATCGGTTTGCAGAACTCTTAATCTCATGCATTCATTCCAGTTATAAAAGAACCTAGCATGACCATTAGAGCCCTGTGTGAAGGGGGGGGGGGAGGGGCTACAGTTTGCAAGTTTAAAAAAAAAAAAAAATCCGACTGAGATGTTAAATTTGTTTAGTCACTTTTTAGAGTAAACCTGTGCCTCAGGCTCCTCTGTGCTCACTTGGTACTACTGTTCTGTGACAGCATTCTTGTTTTTTGAGACAGCAGGATTCTTCCACATCTACAATTCTTCTCAGTGTAAAATCCATTACATTACGTCACAGTTATCAATATGTTAGAAAATAACATTACTAAAACCACTTTTTCTTTATTCAAGCAATAGCCCACTTATTGTCCTTATTGGTACAGTTTTTTTATCTCAGTCTTGATGACTGACTGACAAAGTTAAACACAGCACTTATTAAAGAACAGATGCATTAAAGTTATCAGCGTATCTGCTTATACGCTTTATTATGTATATAATTAGCACCCTACCAAATTCACACCATGAAAAATGAGTCACAGACCGTGAAATCTGGTCTTTTGTGTGATTTTTTTTATTTTTTTTTTTACCCTATGCTGTACAGATTTCACAGGGGAGACCAGCGTTTCTCAAATTGGGAATCCTGACCCAAAAGGGAGATGCAGTGGGGTCAGAAGCTTATTTTAGGGGGTCACAGTATTGCCACCCTTCTGTGCTGCTTTCATAGCAGGGTGGCCAGAGAGCGACAGCTGTTGGCTGGGTGTTCAGCTCTGAAGGCAGCACACCGCCAGCAGCAGCGCAGAATTAAGGGTGGCAATACCATACCTTGCCACCCTTACTTCTGTGCTGCTGCCTTCAGAGCTGGATGGCCAGAGAATGGCAGCTGCTGACTGAGGGCCCAGCAGCAGTGCAGAAGTAAGGGTAGCAATATCACAACCTCCCCTACAATAACCTTGCGACCCCCACATAACCTAAGTTCCCTGTAAGCTGGCCGCGCAGCATCCGATTTAGCGCCACACATCACCTCCATATTGGTGCACATAACAAAATTAATTCTGCACATGTGTGGGGAAAAATTAGAGGGAACACTGCCTATAACACTTTTTTGGGTAAGGACCCCTAAAATAACACCATGCAATTTCAGATTTAAATAGCTGAAATCATGAAATTCATGATTTTAAAAATAATGCGACTGTGAAATTGACCAAAATGGACTGAGTTTGGTAGGGCTCTCTATATAATGCTATCCCAGACACTATCTCATATAACTAAGCTCTGTGCTGTTTTAGCAACAGTAAGCTTTTATAAAGCTGCGATCAATTGCCACATGTAAGCATACTGTGGTCTGTTATGCTTTTTCTCAGGGTGGATTTGATTTAAATCAATTGATTTAAATCATGATTTAATCACTAGTCAGGAAGACTCTATTTAATCATGGATTTCTACATTCTTGTTGATTGTTATAACCTTACTGCATACTCTTCACAACTCGGAGATGTAGGTTTCATTTTTAGAAGGTACACACTATACATTTTTAAGTGATTTATTTTGAAAACTTTTCAGATTAGTTTTACAACTATATCAGAAAATGAATGATTGTTTGGTTATTTCATTTACCGGAGGTAATTGAAGCAGATATTTATGAAGTCATTGGGAGGTGAACTATCTCCAATTCAAAAGGTTAATCATTAATATTTGGAGGATTTTCTTGCCATGCTGTATTAGGAGAATACCACCAGACAGACATTTAAATTGTTTTATTTAACTAAAACAATGTTATATATTCTGGATTTTTTTCCAACAGAGCAAATACAATATTTTAACAAAACAAGCAAATGAATTTTTGAATTTATTTAAACATTCAAGTTTTTTAAAATTAGGTTTGTTTTTGTTCAAATTGTTTTTAACTAAAATAGTTAAATGAAATATTTGTTTCAAAAAAACAAAAATTAAATTGACTGTGTCAGCCAGGTCAACATGAGAAACTTAAAATATTGGCTTCTGCAGCTAACTCAGTCGTCTTCACCTTCATTTTCCTGTTTGTTCATAATCTGGAAAAGGAAAAACAAGCTTTCCTGCTTTTTCAGGTCCCAAACGATTTCTCAGTTTGGAATGAATTAGTCCAAAGGAAGAAAATATTCTTTCTACACTGGCAGAAGAAGCTACTCCTGTTAAGTGAGATTATCACTTCAACAGTCTCTGAATCCAAGTGCTTAAGTGACTTCCACCAGTTCACTGCTGTGACTTTCTTTAAAACATCATCAGCAAACATATATTTCTTGTAATAAATAAAAAACTTAGCTCTGAAGTTTATTACAGTTTGCATTATGGAGGGATGATGGCTAGATGTCTATGTTGTAGCTGGATGTGGCCCGCAGGCCATAATTTTCCCACCTCTGCTCTAGACCTTTTGCACACTGCTCAATTTCTCTTTCATACACTTTATCCAGCAATTTGCCTGTGACATCTGCTTTGGGGGGTGATCTGTATCCTGATCTTAATGACTGAACCATGTTAATGAAGTGTGGGTTCTCAATCATACGGAAAGGAGAGTTTGCTGCATAAACAAACTGGGCAATTTTTTCATCAATTACCTCTCTGTAATCTGCTGGTTCTTATTACAAGTTTATCTCTGGTTGTTTCTGGATGATGGAGATTTTTTTTCTTTTTGCTACAGGTAATATACTGTGGCCATGACGTACATGATGTGACTGAAACACTATCATTGGCAAATAACTCTGAAACTATAGAAAATGATGGTGGTCTTGAAAGTGGATAGTCTTCAGAATCCAGTATGTTGAGGATGGATTCTCCTAAACAAAATAAGTTGATGCAGTTATTTAATTATTATTACCATACTGCTCATTTAGTATTACTCATTGCATTCACTGACACTCAGTACTACTTTAAAGGTTAAATTGTAAAAGGAAGATCTGCCTGTTTCAGCTATTTATTTTTTTATCACAACTGCATCTAAAATGATAGTACCATAGAGTAACAACTATATTTTTTTGCTCAAACATGAGAATTCAAGCATAGTCCAGAAGGAAGACAGGCAGTCCTTAAGAAAGAAGTATGAAATAAAAAAGTTTACCAACCTGAAGATCCTGCATGTTCAGACCTGTTCCTTTCATCATCTTCAACCCAGCTTCCTCCTGAGAAGGAACATGTCTCATGATGTTTCATTCGGGCAACCAGGCCTTGCATTTCTTTGTTGCACTGTTTGCATTTTGCACACATGTCTCTTACCCACATGTAGAGGAACTTCATTAAAATATTCCCAAACTGGGTCTCTTTTACGGTCTGCTGCCATTACAGGTTTTCCCTTCTAGTGAGAGAATGATATGGTTGATCTCAAATCAATGAAGGCTACACTCAGAAAGACCTCAAGACTTCTGGAATATGCTGCTCAAACAGTTTCACTTTTGTTTCTGCTGCCTGTCCCTCCCTTCATCACCAGACTACTTCTCCTTGTCCAGATCTATTCCACCCCCAACAATCTTCTATTCATTGAACTTTTTGAAACTTTTCACTTTTAGAGAGCGGTAAGGGATTGAGGGACAATAGGATTGAGGTCTGTTATTTTTCACCTCTATATATTTACTTATTTTAAAACATTTTTGCTGTTAACAAGCATGGTCTCTCTGGAGAGACAAATCCACAGTTTGAGAACTGCAAAACTAAGCATCTCTGATGGTATCTTCTAGACTGAGCACTCCGTCCCATTGGGTAGATAGAAAGATTAACCTAAATAATCTATACAGAAGCCCCTGGAACCACATAAGATTGGGTTCCTAATCCATGAACTATTGGAACTCATTTACAAACTTTTCTTACACGTTACATTAGAGGTGGGCAAACTATGGCCTGGGGGCCACACCCAGCCCTTCAGACATTTTAATCCGGCCCTCGAGCTCTAGCCAGGGAGCGGGGTTCGGGGCTTGACCCACTCTGTGCATGCCAGGGCTCCATGCAGCTCCTGGAAGCAGCAGCACGTCCGCCGTCCACCTCCTATGCATGGGGCAGCCAGGGGGCTCTGCACACTTCCTCCGCAGCTCCCATTACCCAGCAACCATGGCCAATGGGAGTTGCAGGGGCAGTGCCTGTGGATGGGGCAGTGCACAGAGCCACCTGGCCGCACCTCTGCATAGGAGCCAGAGGGAGGACATGTCGCTGCTTCTGGGAGCTGCTTGAGGTATGTGCTGCCCAGAGCCTGCGTCCCAACCTGCCCCAGCCCTGATCCCCCTCCCACCCTCTGAACCCATTGGTCCCAGCCCTGAGCACCCTCCTGCACCCTCAATCCCAGACCCATCCCAGAACCTGCACCCCTAGTTGAAGCCCTCCCGCACTGCGACCCCCATTTCGTGAGCATTCATGGCCCGCCATACAGTTTCCATACCCAGATGTGGCCCTCAGGCCAAAAAGTTTGCCCACCCCTGCATTACATGAATATACTATCTCAGACTATAGAATTAGAATTTATAATCCCTATTCAATAAAGAGATATCTGAGCTATAATGTATCTTAATTAAACTATCTTTAAATATGTGTTTTCCTCAAAAAGCATTTTATCAAAAAAATCCGATTTTAAATAAAAAAAATTCTGTTTTGATATTTTTTTTTTAAAATGCATTGATTTTTATCCACCCTGCTTTTTCTTACAAATTTCTTTGACACTTTCCAAGTGGTAGCAACAACTGGCGATCTAGAGTAGACAAAGCACGAGTGGCTACCAGCTTTTATACTGCCATATCTGAGCAAACTGAGACCACCAGTAGTTGACCTGTACTAGAGCTGTGTCTCTCAACCTTTCCAGACTACTGTACCCTTTTCAGGAGTCTGATTTGCATACCCTCAAGTTACACCTCACTTAAACTATTTGCTTACAAAATCTGACACAAAATACGAAAGTGTCACAGCACACTATACTTAAAAATTGCTTACTTTCTCATTTTTACTGTATAATTATAACATCATTTGGAATATAAAATATTGTACTTACATTTCACTATGTAGTGTATAAAGCAGTATAAACAAGTAATTGCATGAAATTTTAGTTTGTACCGATTTCACTAGTGCTTTATATGTAGCATGTTGTAAAACTCGGCAAATATCTAGATGAGTTGATGTACCACCCTGGAAGGCCTCTGCGTACCCCTAGGGGTACATGTATCCCTGGCTCAGAACCACTGTACTAGATCTCCCACTAAATGGTCATGCGGTGATGTGAAATTAAAAAAAGGTCATGTAGTCATCAGCTCTGGTCATTAGCCAGCTGTTATGTCACATTAGGAACTGTACTCACGATTTGGCTCCATAAAATGCATTCATCCACCTAATGAACCAAGGGTATATCTAAACTAGGATAAAAGGTGAGTTTTTAGAAAGAGTTAGCTATCAGTGTTAGTCAAGTTGAAGTCTAGGGTTCAATTTGATCAGTGAACCGGTGTACATAAGGGAAGTTTTATTTTGGGGTTTTAAAATGTGTTAGGTAATGTGTTTTTTAAAATCCTTTTTATTCTAGTCTAGATATACCCTAAAAGAGCAGCTTTCTACCTCTCCTTTAGAGGGTGCTAGTACCTACTTGACTAGATCTGATACATACACAGTCCAATAGAGAACAGTGGCATATACACATACATTAAATACAATAATTATTTTATAGTATCTTTTATATAGAAGAACTGGACCCACTTTAGTTTTCATACCAGATGGGGCTATACTTCATTACTGTCTGAAGCGTTCCTTATGTCAGTTTAATGTTTACGGTAAATAATATGTAAATAAGATTTTATTAGACTTGTATATAATTCATTTTTCCTTTTAATTTTCAAAAGTGTTTAAAATAGTAAAATAATATGCTCTCTAGTTTGTCACTTTTAGTCTACTTGCCAGAGATACAGTAGATCCTGGAACTGTCTCTATAGCATTATAGCTGTGCTTGCCACTTTATGGATATGAAGATATACATATGGATATACATATCCCTGCCCCAAAGAAATTAGTCTGTTAAAAATTAACACAAGGAAAGATGAAAAATCATTTTTGGTGGGTGCATCAATATGCTAATGCCTTAAGCAACAATAGCTGGCTATTGAACATGTGAGCACTAAGTTGACTCAAATTGATAAATCACCCTGTGTTGCTTTTTTTTTCTCTTTAAATTTTAAGCAAATCAAATAGTTGCCCAACCAGTCATATATTAAGGCATTGGGCAAATGTTTAAATGCTCAGTACATTCCCACTGTTACAGCAGGAACCCTGCTTCATTCAGGACACAGGTCGGAGAGCATACAGGAAACAAAGTGAGACATAATTGTATTGTGCAGGGATCATGCATCATTCTGCAACTGTAACAGGGTAAATCTGGAGTAAATTATTACAATAGTGAAATTACCCTGAATTTTCATCAGTGTAACTAAGTAGAACTGGGTCCTCTGTGCACAGGATGGATGATGTAGTGATGTTGCAGACCTTCATCATGCATGGAGAGCTGTCCAACTGGTACAATAAATGGGGAACAAATTATGTGACAATAAGGTGATCATATAATTGAAAATGACCCTACCATAAGGAATATGCATGAGAGCAGAATTAAGATGTCACACAATCTTACCTTTGGCATTTTTTTCTTTTAAAATGCACCACTTGTTTCTTTATCGTGTGTGTGTGTGTAAAATTGAGGTTATCTGTATTCTCCCTCTCCTTCCTTTCAGTTTTTTCTTTGACTGAAACAGGATGTTGGACCGAATCTCTTAATAGCAATTCTCCCTCTAGCAATATGCATCACTTCATCAGAAGCAGCCATTTCCTGTTGAAATGATGAATCACTGACGTTATAATAAGAAAAGGAGTACTTGTGGCACCTTAGAGACTAACCAATTTATTTGAGCATGAGCTTTCGTGAGCCACAGCTCACTTCATCAGAATACAGACTAACACGGCTGTTCCTCTGAAACCTGACGTTATAATGGTGTTGCTAGAAATTAACAATATTTAGCCATTTTTCTAGCAATTCATGGACTAATATTTAGTATGTAGTGTTTAAACACACTAATATCTGTCTTAATCAGGCATGAGTTAATAAATCCAAAGGCTAACCATCAGTAATTCTTGCTATACTGCACAGTTAAACCACAACTATGCGAACACATTACTACTTAAATATAAATATATTTTAAATATTAATTTCCTCTGGGCCTTATTTAATGGAAGGCTGTTTACCTGAGAGAGAGATTTCACCAGGTGATACTTTTTCAAAAAAAGTTATAAATACATTGTACAGACACACGGAGAATGGATCTCTGGCTGTTGGGTAACATGGCAGTGGGGTTTCTAATTCAGAAATGTAGGTTTATAATCCAGTATTGACATCTGAATTTGAAATGTATTCCAATATATCTTCCTAGCCACACTGAAAATCAGCTAATGACAATGTTTTTTTTGTTTGTTTGTTTGTTTTAGGCTTTAGAAAGGATGCGTCCCTATTTGTGTGACAAAATTATAGCTGAGAGACACTTTGATTACCTGCGTTCAAAGAAAATACTCACTAGAGAGGACGCTGAAGAAATATCTTGTCGACCCTCAAGTAGGAAGAAAACTGGGAAGTTATTGGACTACTTAGCAGAAAATCCAAAGGGACTAGATACTTTGATTGAATCTATTAGACGAGAAAGAACACAGAACTTCCTGTTAGAAAGGATAACTGATGTAGTGTTGAAAGTCAAAAATGAAAAACTTGAAGCTCTCAAAGGTGAGACGTTTAAATCGTTAAATGGCAAAGTAGATGTTTATCTCAAAGGACTCTGTAAAAGTACGTAAACCAAAAAACATGTCTTACTGTAGATTTTAGCTTCAGAATTCCTTTGGCAATAGGGATATCACCTTTGAAGAAATTTCTTGCAAGACAAACAAATGACATTAGACTTGGATTTAAGCCCCTAAGGACAAGTACCATGTCTTCCTATGTTTTTTTTACCATGCTAACTACAGTGATGCTTAATAAATCACAAAAACTAATGATCATGATTTGTTATGATGTACACAAAGTATTTTTGCATCTTGGTCTAAATCTGTCAAATTTTGCTTCCTATGAGATTATATTGCAGAATTGGAGCTTGATCAGCTTTGCTGATGGGCTTTCTCTTGGAATGCTTTTTTTTAAACTTACTATGTGCCTTAACATAAAATGAGCCTGTATTGGGAAACTAAACAGTCACTTTGTGTGTCAACATTAAACAAAGCGATAAACCCCAAAACCTTATGTAGGTATGCACATATGTGCTGCTGCCTCAGCCTAGCATGCACAGACAAGGATTTTTTATGTTGACACACAGGAAATTGAATCATGACTTGATGTCATAGAGTGTATTCAAAGTTGAAATTACATTGTAATCATAGCTCTAAGAAAATCCAGCAATTGGTTCTAAGAAATATAAGTTGAGGAAAAGATGAAACCTAGACGAAAGTAAACCTTACCAGATTCTTCTCTCTAGGGTTTACATCTTTCCTGTTTTGCCTGATTTTACTTACAAAAATAAGGCCCTGTTCCCAGTGAATTAGATCCATAGAACTGCTAGCTGAAGAATAAGTTGAAAAAATTTCTTTGTTTTTGAGTTCGGGGTAAAGAGAATTTTTGGCCTGTGTTCTCCTGCCAGACTAACTTGAAACTGAAGCCTTACTTATCTCAAGGACAGCGTATCCTTTTCAAGAGGTACTCTGTCTTTACTGATCCATAAAAACACATTCAAGTTGATTGTGACAGATAGTCATTGGTCTCCTACAAGGAGCTCTGTGTAAATCATGCAGGCCAAAATTTTCAAACCTGAATGCCTAGACCAGTGGTTCTCAACTGTGGCCTACCACTTGTTCAGGGAAAGCCGCTTGCGCACCGGGCTGGTTTGTTTACCTACCGCGTCCGCAGGTTAGGCCGATCGCGGCTCCCAGTGGCCGTGGTCCGCCACTCCAGGCCAATGGGCACTGCAGAAAGCGGCGTGGGCCAAGGGATGTGCTGGCCACCCTTCCCGCAGCCCCCATTGGCCTGGGGTGGCGAACCAGGGCCAGTGGTAGCCACGATCGGCCGAACCTGCGGACGCGGCAGGTAAACAAACCAGCCCGGCGCGCAAGGGGCTTTCCCTGAACAAACGGTGGACCACAGTTGAGAACTACTGGCCTAGACTAAGGCTTCTAAATCCATATTTGGTCAAATATAAATATAAGCAGCTTAGTTCTCACAAGGCCTTGGCACCTGCAGCTCCTGCTGACTGCACTGGAATTTGTGATTCTCGGCATTTGTGAAAATCTGGCCACTTTAAGTAGTTAAATATGGATTTAGGAGCCTAATGTTAGCAGTTCCAAAATTACTTCCATTGGTTAAAGTAGTAATAAAAGGAAAGAGAAGGTAGAAGGGATTCAGTTTCTGCAGCTTTTGTGCTGTTAAAAAAAAAAATCTCAGACTTGCCATTTTCATAAATTTCAGGACATGAGAGAGAGGACAGGATTCCTGAGAGGAAAGAGGTGGGGCTAGGGATATTGGAGAAGATAGATGGGAACAAAATGGGAAGACGAAAAGGACAATTAGTTTTTGTGAAAGATTAACAAATTTGACTTACTAAATGTACATGTGTATATATGCCAAGTACTAAATTCACACTGGAATGGTGGGATGTCAGATGAGACTGAAGTTGACTGGAGAGGTGGTCTACAAGACTAGTGATCCACACTGATAAAATTTAAGTACCTATGCTCTAGTTTGATGGATCATAGAATATCAAGGTTGGAAGGGACCTCAGGAGGTCATCTAGTCCAACCCCCTGCTCAAAGCAGGACCAAGCCCCAATTTTTGCCCCAGATGCTAAGCAACCCCCTCAAGGATTGAACTCATAACCCTGGGTTTAGCAGGCCAAAGCTCAAACCACTGACCTATCCCTCCCCCCCTCAGGAGGTTTGCATCTACGCAACTGGGGTGGGAACCACATCTGACCACCATCTGGCTTTTAGAACATTTTAATAAATGCCATTGAAGTAATTTGAGGGAGAAACTGCCTAGCTACGTAGAATATTGTAATAACATCCAGTCTGGTTTTGTTTAGGTCTGAGCTGCAGCAGCTGTATGACTTCAGTGTATGGAGGAACAAATAATCTTTCTAGGTCATATTCTGATGAATCCAATTACTATGAAAAAGTAAAAGAATCTACCCATAATCAACCAGAAGAACAGTTTAGTACAGCTGCTTTTGTGTCTGCTTCATCTCTTCGTTCAATGAATTTACCAATTGTGGAGATGGGAAGCACAGAAAACGCAGTCTTCTCAACCGCGCTTCCAGGACCTGGGGATCCTGGAGCACCCCCTCTTCCACCAGAACTGCAGTCTGAACAACAAGAAGCCAGTACCAGTTCAAGTGACAATCGTTTTCTGCCTTTAAGATCACGTTCTCTTCTACCACAATGACTTCAATGACTCTTTTTCCTGTCTGTTCACTTAAAGGGGGGGTGTTGTGAGACTTTTACATATCTTTGCAGGCGGCATACAGAATGTTTCCAAACTGTTAAATCACAAATAGGGGGAAATAGCCTATATGAGTTGCCCAAAAAAAAAAAAAAATTTTTTTTGTATTAAAAATCGTAATCAATGGATTCTATATCTTTAGATGCCACTAGTGCTGTACCTTGTTTGGGGGGTGTGTTTTTTTTAAATTAAAGGATTTCATGTTAATGTCATTAGTTAAATTGTTCCAATCAATGGAACAAATGTTTATCCTCCAACAGTAACAGATTTTGATATTTTTAGCAAGTAGAGGGGAAATGGCTTATAACAAAAGAGAACACTTTAAAAGGACTTTCTCAGAACTTACACATTTGTACTACTTCTAAAAGTTTGCCAAACTATCTTTTATGTGGTATAGGGTAAATTCTTCCCTCAAATTTATGCACACACCACTCCATTGGGAGGGCAGAATTTGGCTTTGTAGCCATGCATTTTTTTAAAATGCTTATTGTCAAATAATTCTCAATATGCTAATTTTCTGAACCTTGTGCTCTACTTTCATCCAAACATGAAAGGTAGATACTACACTGATTAGAATTCATATATGATAAATGCATTTTCACATACTGTTTTTAAATATCACTGGTTTGAGATGCATTTGTTTTAATTTAAATTTATATTAATAGTGGAAAGGAATGTCAGTTGTTCAGATCCCAGTAAGGGAGTTGCTCAGTAGCTTATTTATAAAATGCCTTTATTTAAGTAAGGGCATGCTTCTGTAAGGAGCAAAAGGTGCAGTATTTAATGGGTGGCCCTAGTAGGAGGATGTCTTTAACTGAAGTACTCAAGTAAATATTGCACTGCAGATACTTAATTTTTACACCCTACAGTAACAAGTTTACATTCAAAGTGATTTAGAATCTAAACCAAGTTTTAACTATTTTAACATGGGAAAAGTTCTCATCTCCTGACATAGTACAATATGTTTAATCCTTTCATACTTTCCTTCTCATTCTGATCCTCACTTTGTAAGATTGAATTTTAGAAGATTAAGTGTAGAAGTGCAAAATGACTAATTTAAAAACTGTATTACTCAGGATTATGTACAGTTATCTTAACACAGCAGAGTATTTTTCTGAAGTTACATTTTCTGTTTATCAAGAGGTAGACTGGATTTTATTTAAAATGTATAATTCTGACACTGACTGCTACAGTAGGATAACAAATATTCTAGTCTGTCACACCCGGATTCCATTTCTAATGCTAATTCTCCTGCAGAGGCTATATGCTCAGCCTCGACTTCAGAGGAGAGCTGCCTTATGTTGTTCCTGGGTGACATCAGCCAAAAGGAGGCTGGTCCCATTTGAAAAGTAATCAACAAAAGTGTCCTATAGCTATTTGTTCATGTCTGACTAGTCCTTGGATGTTAACTCAGTTCAAATAAACTGTCAAGTTTAATTGGAATATCATGTAGAAACAACTTTAGTATAAGAATGAGATAACTTACATATGACAAAAATATGGGCTGCTTTTATCAGTATATGACACCAATCACTGTTTTCAGGTATTCATCCATCTAAAGCACACTGAGCCTGATTTTCAAAAGAGCGGATTACCTACAAATATATTGACTACAGCTTGGAGTTGTAGGTCTCAGAACTCTTAAAAATCAAGCTAAGTGTCTTAACACCCCTACATTTTGAACATTCCCAACCATTTTTTATGAACTCTGCAGGTATCTATTGTAATTTATTTTGCTATCCTGTTGGAAGTGATTATAGAAATTAGGCTAATTTACTCTATCTGGATCTGAGCCTGAGAATTGCTGAGAGCCTTGCAGTCAATGCACCCAGTTCGCCTTCCACTCAAACTAATGCTAAAACTTCTTTGGGAGCAAGAGCAGGCCCATTGAGAATTGAATGGTTAAGCAATTGATATGATGTACTTAATCTCTCATGGGATAGGGTTCTGTGGTTACAGGAGATCCGCAAAAGTTGGGTGAATGCTGGAGAAGGAGGGGCTGATCCTATGTAAACCAGAAATATACAATGTACATGGGTTCATAATGTGAATGTTAGAGATTTGCTAGATAACTACCAAAATGTCTGTAGTGAATGTGTACCACAAACTCTACATGTGCAGTAATTGCTCCATTGTATTAACCTGAGATCTGTAATGAATGTGTGTAATATTACCAAATGCTTGAAACCTATGCATTTTTTAAACAAAGACTTAATATCACAAACTGTTGAAATAATTTTTTTTTTGCATAATTGCTTGTGTCTCTCCTCCACACCCTCCGCATTACCTTTCTTTGTGGCTTCTGTCATATTAAAACAAAACATCTCTGGTCTGAGCTGCTCAAACTGAGGCTATAGATATAGATGATTGTAATACGCTAATTTACAACAATTCCATGGCATTGAACTCTGGAGACTGTTGAGGAAGAAGTGTGCTTGTTGAGGAGTACTCCCCTAACTTGTCCACTTCACAACTCCTGATTCTTTTGAGTGCCCATCCTCGAGGCTTGAGCATTCCATGGAACTCTTCCTAGGTCGGAGAGACTCCAATGTGTAATTTCTAACCTAATCTCCAATAGCATGAGCTTTAAAAAAAAAAAAATGCACACTGATCATCTTTCCACTGGCAGAATGATAGAACTATCTTCCCTCATCTGCTGTGTTTGGGGAGGGACAGGGTGGGTAAGTACAAGGACTTAAATCAGGCTTCATGCTGCTTCAAGTTTACTGACTGATCTATAGAAGGTGCTGTGTTGAGCCAGACCCTGTTGGCTAAGGTAGAATTATACTCACCTGGGGAAGAACACACATCTTTAAAATGGAAAAGGTAGAAAGAAAAGGAGTACTTGTGGCACCTTAGAGACAAACAAATTTATCTGAGCATAAGCTTTCGTGAGCTACAGCTCACTTCATCAGAAAGCTTACGTTCAAATAAATTTGTTATTCTCTAAGGTACCACAAGTACTCCTTTTCTTTTTGTGGATATAGACTAACAGGGCTGCTACTCTAAAACTTGGAAAAGGTAGGAGGCTGGAGAGCTTCTGACCCAAGTTTGTGGGTCTAAGCAAGGGATAATGTTATTTTTAAAACAATTACCTAAAATGATTTCGATACACCCCTTAATATTAGGGTAAACACAGTTTAATATCTCTACAGTGGAGTTAGCTGGTTATATAACCTAGGTGTTTAATCTCCCTCAACTAATGTGATAGTAATTGTTAAACTAGGTGTTAAGGGTGTTAGCTTGGTAGAATTTTAAAAAGGCGGCACTGGCCTTATCTACATGACTTTTCAAACATCATATTAGAACATGTTTGAAAAGTTTAGTGTAGAGAAAGCATTGTATATTTTAACACAGGCTAAGTGGTTGGGTTAAAGCTTAAGTTCCTATGGAGGTGACCGGTTTAGCATGTTTTAAAGCAGTGGTTCTCAAACTTTTGTACTGGTGACCCTTTCACACAGCAAGCCTCTGAGTGCGACCCCCCCCCCCTTATAAATTAAAAATACTTTTTTATATATTTAACACCATTATAAATGCTGGATGCAAAGTGGGGTTTGGGATGCAAACTGACAGCTTGTGACCCCTCCCCTTATATAATAAGCTCATGACCCCCTGAGGGGTCCCAACCCTCAGTTTGAGAACCCCTGTTTTAAAGATTTGTCTATACTAGATTTTTCATTAGACTGTTAGTTCACATGCTTTTTATTCTTCTCTAGATAAGGTCTGTGAGCGTGTGTGTGTATATATATATTTTTAAAGCAAATATATTTCTCAGCATTACCTCCTGTGTTGAATCAAATAACTGTAAAATGTAAGCTCCAATAAGTTTGCCTTTGTTGTACAATGTAGCCTACTCGTGAATACAAACAAGATCTCAGCTGAGGCAAACAAAATAGAGTGGCTCTTAGTTTTTCCATCAAATACAGGAGTACTCTAACTCCAAATTTGTCTATTTGCCTGAAGCTAATAAGAGAACACTAAAAATAAAATAAGCTTATTGGAATCCACATGAAAATAAAGGGTTTGAGCTTACTGTACTATCGATTGTTATGGAATAACCTACCCAGAGGGCTTTTTTACACTAACTTAGTGGTTCTCAAACTGTGGGCTGGGACCCCAAAGTGGGTCACAATCCCATTTCAATGGGTTCACCAGGGCTGGCTGAGACTTGCTGGGGTCCCAGGGCCTTAGCCTTCAACAGTGCGGCTCAGGTTACAGGGGCACCCCACGCAGTGGGCCTTCTGCTTTGCACCTCCCACCCCAGGCTTCTGTCTCCCCTCCTGGGGTCATCTAGTAATTTTTGTTGTCCAAGGGGGAGTTCATGGTGCAATGAAGTTTGAGAACCCATGCACTAGCCCTTATCAATTAGTGACCGGCCTATTGTACACGCTGAAGCATGAGAAACTTGTGATTTTCAAAGCAGTCAATCAAGGCTGTCTATCCCTACTCTTACTTGTGCATGTTCTCATCAACTTCAATATCTACTACGCCTCTTTCATGAGTCCTATAGGTTAATGAAGAGTGGTGTGGAAACCACATTTTCCTTTGATCCGTTTTCAATCGGTTTTCTAGCCGTGTCTTTGAATGTCCTCTTCGCTGTTTTGTTACTATGATGAGGAAAACGATGGGGCAGGGCCACCTGTACCCGGCCGGCATCTTCCCCCATCCGATCGCTAAACAGTCCCCGCCCTCCCGCGTGCTGAGCTCTCCCCACCGCTCCGCTCCCTGGGGCTGCCCAGCTGCGGCCTCTTCAGGGCCTGGCCCCTCCTCCCTCAGCTTCCGGGCCGGGGCAGAGCCCCGCCGGGGTGTCCGCCCCCTCGCGGGCAGCGGGACCCCGGTGTGGGCGGGAGCCGCTGCTCGGGGACGGCGGGGCAGCTACCCCGGGGAGGGCGGCGTTCCTGGCGGTCGGCCGCGGGAGGGAGCCTGGCTCCGCCGGCCTCTCTCGCTCCCGGAACCTTTGGTTCCAGGCCGGGTTTCCGCGGCCGGCGGGGTGTCCCCAGTGCCAGCCCCGCCATGGCGGCGGAGGGGAAGGATCCGCTCGGCTACTTCGCGGCCTACGGCAGCGACAGCAGCAGCAGCTCCAGCTCGGACGCCGAGAGCGAGGAGCCGCGCGCCGCTCGGGGAGAGGCGGCCGGGGAGGCGGCCGGGGTTAGCCCGGGCCGGAAGCCGCGGCTGCCCGGGCCCGACGAGCTGTTCCGGAACGTGTCCCGGCCGCCATCCTTTCTCTATAACCCGCTCAACAAGCAGATCGACTGGGAGCGTCGGGTCGTGCGGGCGCCCGAGGAGGTGAGGCCCGGGGCGGCCCCGTGTGGGGGCTCCGGGGTAACGCGCGCGGCCTCCCCCAGCGGCGCGGCTCTGGGGTCGAGCCCTGCCCTGCGTGCGGCCCTCCCGGCCCTGGGCTGCTGGGCGCGGTGAGCCCGAGCGGCACCGCGGTGAGCCCCAGGCCACTGCGAACAGCTGAGCGGAGACTCTCCCGCCCCCTAGGCGCCAAGGGGCCATTGGGGGCGGGGGGCTCCGGAGTTATCAGACTCCCGCTAGTCAAAGACACGGTGATCCTTTTCAGCAGGGGTTCTCAACCTATTTATCCTTGTGGGCCCTGGGTCGAGAACCAACCCCCCCCCGCGCTGCCCAATAAACCCCCACATTCCCCTGTGCCCAGCACCCCTAGCCCAGAGACCCCTCTACAGAAGGGAGGGTAGCCTAAAACCTGGAGGTGCACCCCGTCCCCACAACCCTGCCCAGAGACCCACTCTTCTGCACCCTGCCCCCCTACGGCACTCACGAGTCCATTAGGCTGCCAGACACTGTCTCCCCCTCAGCTTCCCCACCCTCTTTCAGACCAGATCAGCAAAATTTGAATTTTTTTTAGCACACAGCTGGGCCCCAGCTGTCTGCTAATTGGGCTGCATGCAGGCTGCAGGATGAGAAATCACTGCCCTTGAGCAAGGCCCTGGAACAGCACCCTGGTGAGATGGCCAGCCTCTCTTCCTGATAGGGAGGAACGTCAGGGTAGAGCCCTGCAGCCAGATTGGGTAGCAGTAGGAGTGACTATTACGGGGTAAAACAGGAGCGGGATTAAAAAATAGTCCCACATAGGGCTCTAATTCAGGCTTCTCCCCACAGAGTTTATTGAATCTTTGCTATTTTCTTTGGGCTGGGGGCATGGCGTTTAGTTTTCTGGTTTTCCCCTTTGTTGTTTTAGGGGAAAGGCTCTTTCTTGTTTAGTCTCACCAGAGCCCCTCGGGTGACTATTTTTGGTAATCAAGAGATCAGATTTCCTTTGATTTGATGACATAATATGAAGCTCTCGCTTTCTGCTCCACTTCGCTTTGTTGCAATGCATTGTTGTAAACGGTGGTGGTCTCTTCAACAGCCTCCTAAGGAATTCAAAGTGTGGAAGACTAATGCAGTACCACCACCTGAGATTTACAGTATTAAGGAAAAGAAGCCACCACCACCTCCTGAGCTTGATATGGCAATAAAATGGTCTAACATATATGAGGACAATGGTGATGATGCTCCACAGCAAACAAACAAAATTAACTTTTTACCAGAAGAGGAGCACGAGTCTTTGGAATCAGGTGGGTAATTATCCAATCTGGTGAAGGATTAGCCAACTTTCTGATTGCAGAAAACTAAACACCCTTGTCCTGCCAGACGTTCTGCCCTGGGCTCACTCCATCCCCCTTCCCTCCATTGCTTGCTCTCCCCCACCCTCACTCACTCATTTTCACCAGGCTGCAGCAGGGGATTGGGGTGCTGGAGGGGGCTCAGGACTGGGGTTAGGGTGCAGACTCTGGGAGGGATTTTGGGTGTGGGAGGGGGCTCAGGGCTGGGGCAAGGGGTTGGGGTGGCAGCACTTACCTCAGGCTGCTCCCAGAAGCAGCGACATGTCCCTCTGGTTCCTAGGTCCAGGGCAGGCAGAGGCAGTGCACAAAGTCCTCTGGCTACCCCTGCGCTTAGGAGCTGGAGGGACATGCTGGCCACTTCCAAGAGCTGGCCTCTGCAATCAACTGGACTTTTAGCGGCCTGGCCAGCAGTGCTGACTGGAGCCTCCAGGGTCCCTTTTTGACTAGGTGTTTTGGTTGAAAACCGGGCTCCTGGCAATCCTAGAAGGGTCTGAAAAGTAAAAAGAGATGGTTCTTTTTGGGTGTGTATTATGTGATCTGCTTTTAGTTTGGTCTTCCTGGGTTTCCTTCTTTCCCCTCCTCCAAAACAGGCAAT